GGCAAATAGATGCAAATAAATGACACTTAGTGGCTTAGTGTGATGTGTTGCAGGTGATCCAGCTGATGAAGGCCTTGTCGCATTGCCATAAGCAGGGCGCTCATGCATCGTGCGCTGCTTCCATTATCTCCATGTTCGTGCGTCTATGTGCGACCCAAAGTTTGGGATTCTGCGCAGAGATGTGAAGCCACCCAGATTGTTGGTAGAACACGCGGCTCCTCAGCCTCTGGAGCACCTCACCTTGGAATGATGAGGGGAGAAGTCAAAAGCAGAGAAGCCAACGTTTTGGATTTGTCAGTTTGCAGCTTTTTAAGGTTTCAAAAAACCTTACGGTAAAGTCTGGTCACTTTTGGCACATTTTGGTGCCAACCATCCAAGAGGAGTGTCAGCAACAACAGCTGAGGCTGACTTCGCCTGTTCCACCTTTGAACCCCAAAGCGCACTAGTCCCACTGGTTCCAGCCCAAATCGCCTAAACTTACACCATGCGATCTGCAAAGAAGGTGCTCAAGGTTAGGTAGCATTCCTGCCGCCAACGCCCACGAAGGTACTTAGAAGTATTTCAGCCCAGAGCTTGTGACTGGGCTGTGGTGCTGAGATTGCTTACTTTGATATGCCATGAGATGCCCTAATGCATGTTTGCGCAGCTGGTTGCAAGAGTAGCGCGCGGATCGCAAACCCTATGGTCGTGGTTGGCGCAAGGCTCCACCGACAAAAGCTGCTGACCACTAGGCTGCTGAGGTCAGCCTTGGCGGCTTAAGCTGGGCGATTTCCCCCCCGCCAGGCCCACAGGTCAGGTCTATCAAAGCCTAACTCGTAGCGCTAACAACCTCTATGTTGGATTGGTTTTGCTACGAGGGTCGTGCCCTCGAACTGAGGATGGCTTCCACGCCAACATATGCAGCCGCAAAGGCTTATAGCGACCACCTCTCAAGACACAAAGAGGAGGAAGACTCCGGGCCCAGGGATTGAAAGGGAACAAGCTTCTTGAAATCCTTCAATCTGTTCACTATACTATATGCCCCATTACGATTTGCCACAGAGCCTGGTAATCACCAGGTGATGCCGCGATGCCTGTGGTATGGCCCTGATGAGGGTCAACCACCGGCGTCGTAAAGAGCGCCCGCTCGCGCCCGCCAGTTCCTGCGAGCCTGCGCAAAACGGACTTCCACGACGTCGAGGTGAATGAACTTATGGTAAATAGCGCGAAATAGGCGGACACAGACGCGAGCGCCTCGATCAGACACCCGTCCTTAGTGATTACCGTGCGAGCCCCTGTAGTGCTACCACACAAAAGGGCATGTAGCTCATTGCGAATTAGGTGTTCATTGAATGCACGCTTCTGTGTGTGCAGCTTCGCAATAAAGTTTCTTTGGCGGATGTACTGCGCGTGATCCATGCGAATGCCGGACAGCTGCGTCAAGGCCGTGTGTGTTGCAATAGGGGACAAAGTCCGATTCCGCAACTGCACGGGACTCCGCAACTAGGATTCTGCAAGTAGGATTCCACAACTGGGTTCTGCAACTGTATGGAGTCTGCAGCAGCCATGCTTCCGCCGCTACTCTCTTGATTCCGCAACTGTCTGGACTCCGCAACTGGGATTTGAGCAGCAACCGCAGGCCTCAAAAAACAAAGAAGGCGTGCTGGGGTGGGAATCTCCGTTTTAGAACACCAGCTTCAGAGTACCAGTGCAGAACCCCAGTTGCAGAAATTGACTTTCTAGTTTCAGAACGCGAGCTTCAGAATCGCCTTTTCAGAAAACCAATTCCAAAATACAAAATTTAAGAATCCAAGTTTCAGAACACTAGTTTCCGACCCCCGCTTAATTTGCCAATCCGGCTCTAGCCTTGCAATAGGTCATGGTGAATGTAGTGGCGCTGGGGAACCTACATAGATTCCATGGGTTGAAATGTGCGTTGCGTTGAGAATGCAGCTATAGTGTTGGCTGGAAGGCTAGGCTTCAGCCTTTGTCAACAGCAAAAAGGTGGACTGTTGCCGTGAACCGCGCTGGGCCTGACACATTGCCAGCGCAAATGTCAGTGCAGCAAACACACATGCCACCATGATTGTCATGCAACATATACATATCAGAAAATATGTTAGTAGTTTTGTCTTGGACACTGTCAGTGTTTGAACGGGATAGACGTGTCAGCGCATTCCTTTCAAGTCGTGTGTAAGTAAGCGTCCATTATTAAAAGTTTGTCGCCCCATAGGTCAGGGACCATGTCAGCCTATGCATCAGTCCAGTATGTCATTGCATTTTGTCAGTAGAAACATGTCTGCGGGTTCATCTTGGCTACATATGTCCGTCGCTTCCTCCCAGTTGCCAAGGGCAACCCATCAACTCACATAATAAGTTCGTTCCATTTCAGAGCGGGGATCATTCGACGCAGCGTAGTTTGGATCTGGTCACATATTTCTTGGATATTGGATTTTTCCGGTGCGCAGATAGTGGTGGATCAGCGATCACAGCGCTGCGAGCGTGTGGGACCCAGACATCGAATCAAAAAAGTTTGGCCGAAGAGTGACTATTTAATGATGCCCAAGTGGTTTTCATATCGACGCTGTTATCATGAATCACGTCGAAAGTGTGTCTTATTTTCCTCAGGTTTCGTATGCTCCGGATCTTCAAACTCGCCAAAAAGTTCCCTTCCATGAAGGCCTGTAAAGCTTGCGGCTCGTGACGTACACAACCTGGGAACCGCCCTGGCCATGGTAATCCGCGCTGTACTGCGCCCTTGCTTATGACATTTTATCTTAGTCAGAACTTACTTGCAGCCCCCGAATGCCGAAAAAGGAAAAATAACATATCAACAACCTTCTCACGTCACGAAGGGCGCGGGCCCTTTTGTGGGTGACAGGCTCTTTGAACACTTGAACTCAACTCTTCTGTTTGCTGCCAGATCTTGCTCAGCGCCGGTGTTCAAACACTGATGTCCATGGGAGACTTTGTGGCACTGCACGGGGCCAAACACTTCGACACGTGGAGACGTGAATTTGTTTGACTAGCTTCTTGTTACTAGAAGCGATGCACTTGTTCCTAGTAGCGATGCACTTGTTACTAGTAGCGATCTTGTTAAAATCATTTGCGAGGCTCTTCCTGATCATTTGCGTGTTCGCCTTGATGGCTCAGAGTTTCTTTGGTGGCACCTTCATGTTTGATCCGGACGATGGCAGCTTGGTGGCTCCTGAGGACTGCCCGCGATCCAAACAGCCGTCCTGTAATCATAGTCGTTTGCTTTTCTTCTCGACATTTCATGGCTCGCTTTGTGTCCAAAACCATCTGCCTTGCATCAAACACTTGTGGGGCCAAACCTTTGCTACATGACGCCGGCACGCATGAATTGTATTTAACATTATTTCACATTATCTCATGCATCTCGAAGTTTGCTTCGCAACACGGAGTGCTGGGCAAGCGTTTTCCCTGGGCGCGGTAGCCATTGTGCTGGTAAACGTTTTCCGAAGGCAAAACAGAAAAAACAAACACATTAATACAGGAGGTTATCCCTGTTCAAATTGCAAAGAAAGCAAACCGGTATGCTGGGCTGAAGTTGGTTTCTGGGCGGGCAAAGTGGTCAAAACCCTGGAGACTCTTTTTTGAATGCAGACGATGCTGGTTTCTTTGAGTGAGAACAGTTCAAAGAGCTAGCAATACTTTTCAGACCGAGTTTTGAGATGAAACCATCAAGTGAAGCGGGGCAACCCTTCTTCACCTTCTGCAGCACTCACCCAAGTACGGATTATAAGACTTGTTCCAGACCATTTTGCTGAGAAGGGCCCCTACACTAAGAATAAAGAGAGGGCCTGGATAAAGGAGGTTGGATCAGACACCTTCCACAAAAAAGGCGACCGCAAAACTCATATGCTTTTGGGACAACAAGGTTTGATTTCGATGCTCATCGTCATGCAACATTGCCGGCTTAAAACATAAATTAATGCATCTTTTGAGTGTTGTCATCGTTTGTGTTTAAAGGCATATTCAATGCTAGGCCGTTTCAAGTCACACCCAAAACATAATTGTATTTCATCATTTTTATCCTCAGCCCCATTGATATTTGTACTTCGTCAATCGCACTTGCTCCTCAGCACTCGATTGTATTCTGGCTTTCTCTCCTCCCTTCTCAGGTTCATTCCTTTGTACACATGCCAATTCATCCCATCCTGCTGCGTCCAGGTACCTCGTAGCGACTAGCCCCCCAAAAGAAAGGAACCTAATAGTGATGGCCTCCAACCTAGAAAAAGGAACCTACCTTACGGCTACTTATAGCTACCTCTACTCTTAGTGGTCTTATATACATAATATACATATATTATAGAACATTCATATTATGAGTGAGTTCTAGGACCTCAATCGGTCGATGGTCAAATAAGGCTCAGCATTTGAGACTGAAGCTTCATGCTTGCGCGTTGTCGTCACCGTTGGTTTTCGACGTCGTTTTCCTTTCCTCCCCACTTTGGTTCACTGGACCAAAACCAACTCAAGTCACCACTCAGTTGGGATTGTGTGCCACCTTCAGCTACCTGAGTTCTCCTTGCTTTAGCAAAATGAGGCAAAATGCTGCATCGGCCGAGGAGCCTCCCTGGATCAAATCCTCCTGGTCCGTGGGTTTGCGGGTTGATCTATCCTTTTTGTCCGACTTTGTCCTTCTCATTTTCAACTGCCTCTTCTTCATGAGTTTATCCGCCTCCCCTGCTACCTTTTGTTGACCCGCTTTGTCCAACGCGAAATGCAGTCACGTAGTCTCAGACAGATGCTGAAGTGAATGTGTATAAAACTCCAGTGCAGAGGAGGCCATCGCTAGCCGCTAGTAGGTTGGAGGCCGCTTCTAGTTGGACAGCTTCGCTGACAGCGACGCTACGAACGGGGCTCTTGGCATCGCTACTACGAATAACAAAGGGCCCTACTACTAGGAACAAGGACGCTACTAGGGGCTCCTGGCCTTACTACTAGGAGCAAGGACGCTACTAGGAGCAAAGGGCATCGCTACTAGGAACAAGTGCATCGCTACTAGAAGCAGGACTATCGCGAAAAATGTCCCTTTGGTGACGGTGACAAGCCCATCTGCGCCGCTCAGCTCAATCGGCGAACATATCAAGATCAAATAAATTTCAGATGAACCGGAAGCATATTCAAGTTGGTTAAACATGTGTCCCACTACAGCATGATCAGGGATATAACATGTTGATAGATTTGATGCACTCAAACGAGGTTCCCAGGTCCCACTTCGACACCTTCCTTTGGAGCTTCATCACGATCTTTCAAATTCTGACAGGTTCGGGAAGAAGAGCAGAATGAGATAACATGAGATGGAATGAGATAGAATGAAGAAACATGAATGAATCTGACGAAAGGAGGAAGCTTCAAGAGCATTTGACGAAGATTTTGATTCTGAGAAACGATTCTTACACTCAGTTGAGATGCTGCGCTATCAATTGGAGGCCATCGCTACTAGGAGCGATAGGACGCTACGAACGGAACAAAGGGTTGGAGGCCTCCCTTAGTAGCAAGAATGCCCCTAGTAGCGTCCTTGTTCCTAGTAGCGATGCCAGGAGCCCCTAGCTTCCTACCCCCGCGCGCGCGCGCGAAAAGGTCCTAGTAGATTTCTTTGTTAATTTGAATTAGAACTTAAATTACTAATTCTAGTTTCTACTAGCTTCTTGTTACTAGTACCAGGAGCCCCGTCCTTTAGGTGAAAATTGGAATACGGTGATGTATGATGGGATGCGTGCGACTGGATGGCCCACACCTCAGACCACCTGAAACGACGATGCCAAACCGGTGTGTCGTTGTGAGGATTTCCGTTTTCTTCTTCCTCATGGTTGCTTGGTGAAACCTGGAAAGACTTTATTGGCTTCTTGAAGTTGACTTGTTTCAATTTGTGAATCCTTTGAAATCCATTATGTTTCAATTTACATTTTTTTTTCCTGGTGGAATTCTTTTGTTGAAATCCAGTTTGTTGTTTCAGGTGGTGCTGTTTGGGAACTTTGTAATTCTGAACCTTTTCCTCGCGATTTTGATGAGCAGCTTTGACGAGCAGAGAAGCAAACTTCATGAAGCCATGGAAAGCAAGCGGGAGCTCTCGAGGGTTGGGTGCCCAGAATGCGCTGAAAGTGACGAAATTGGACGAAGAAAAGGCTTTCTGAGAAAGATGAAGAGTGACAGAAAAAGATCCTGGTCTAATAGAATTCAAAGGTTAAAGAGGGAGAGCTCCCTTTAAGAGCTCCCTTTAATACAAGAATCCTTCGCCTGACCTCTCAGTGTCCAGTTGCTAGCAGCTTTCCGACTATGATAGCTGTCTGGTTCGCTTCTCAGCTTACCATCTTTTACGCAGCCTTCATGACCCATCCCCAGTAACAGGTGCATCGCTAGTAGTAACAGGTGCCTTACTAGTAGTAACAAGAAGCTACTAGTAACAATAAGCTATTAGTAACAAGGGCATCGCTACTAGGAGCAAGAATCTGAATTCGGGGAGGCTTCATGGCTTCTTGAAGCTCCGAACGCAGCTAGGACGCCGTAGAACCAACGAAATGATGTCGAACTTGAGAACGATGAACGCTTGTAAGTTGCCTTAAACCCCTTGTAAGTTGTAGAAAGAGGGCAGAAGTGAAAGGTACGAGTGCGAATCACCTCTAGTGAGTGTCAGCATGCATTCTCAGACTCGAAAGTGCATGGAGGCCATCGCTAGAAGGTTCTATTTGTTTATTCCTAGTAGTAACAGGTGCCTTACTAGTAATAACAAGAAGCTAGTAGAAACAAGTGCCTTACTAGTAGTAACAGGTGCCTTACTGGCGCTTTCGCCTTAGCACAACACGTCCAGGCCACTCAAGTCGACCAACGCTGGGCGTGGGACAGTGGAGCCACTTGTCCAGACAGGAAGGAAGAAAGAAGACAACGAGAAGAACAAATAAGACGATGAAACAATATAAAAAAATAACAGGTAAGGAGAATAGAGTGAAACATAATCCTTGCAGTTCTTTTTTGTTATTCTTTTTGGTCATGGTTGAGGAAAGAAGAGGAGCTTTTTTGAACCCTTCGCCCTTCTGTATCCTTAAGCAGCTACTGAATTTACAAGCAAGCTTAGCTTACCTACATCTTACCCACCTCTACCTCCGCCAGGTCATTTCTCATGCTCCAAAAAGGAGGCAGAAAAAGGACAAAGAACCAAAGAAACAACATCAAGGTATTCCATGTGTCCAGCGCTAGTTGGCCGGTCTTGAGGGTAAGCACCCCTACTAGGTCTGACTTTTTTGGTTACTACTAGTAAGGCACACTACCAGCGTGGCACTTGTTACTAATAGCTTCTTGTTACTACTAGTAAGGCACCTGTTACTACTAGCGTGGCACTGGACACAGTCTTCATGACTTTTTGGTTTCCACGACAATTGTTTTGGAACTTTGTGTTTTTCATATCGGAGTGCGCTTGATCCTCCCTGAAGAAGAGACTCAGACCCAGGCTTTAGCAGTGATACCAGGTTGAGCACTTAATCCTTTTGGCCGTCCAGCTCACAGCTTCTTGCTCCTAGTAGTACGGCCAGGAGCCCCTAGTAGCATTCTTGCTCCTAGTAGCGATGCCCTTTGTTACTAGTAGCTTAAGTAGCTTCTTGCTCCTTTTTTTCTTTGTGCCTTCGCCCTCAGAGCTCAATTCCGTGAAGCGAGTCGACCAAATTCTGAGGTCGAGCTCAGGCTGGCTTGTTGCTGTTGTGTGGTCACATCTCTTCGTCTCCCGTGACAGGCTGGTGTTTCGCCCCGTTCAGTCTGGACTTTAGATTCGCACCATGGACACTTACACTTGTTACTAATAGCTTCTTGTTACTAGTAGCGATGCACTTGTTTCTAATAGCAAACATTGTTA